CAGCTGGGTTGAAGTGTCCCCTCGCTTAAAATAACGTCACAGCTTCGTGATTCAGGAGAATGTGCCTCCCACTAGTTGCTTTGGGAGTGCTGGGGAGCACAAGGGGAATAGGAACAACTCCGAAACTTTTATTTGTGGCTAAATAAGAAGCATAACCCCATGGCTGGGGACTGGAACTATCAATGAGTGTTTTTGGAGCTTGGGTTTTGCCCTGCTGGTGACTCGCTTCCTGCTCTCTCGTGCAGTTTCAGCCTGGCAGGGTTTTTCCTCCATCAGTAAAACGGCAATAGAGACCCCTCTGGGTGATTTCAGACTGCCAAGCGATCGATTTGGGGACCTTTATGTGTTACAAAGTGCCAGGGCAGACGGAAGTGCAGGATGTGGTGTCACTGGGACCCGGTGAGAGCTGTGGGTTGTGTGTTTCTCAAACTGAAAAGCAGTTTGTGGCCGGGGTAACCAACGGAAGAAATGTCTTATCTCAAAAACCTGCACAGCAGATCCCACCCCCCTCCCCTGGCACGGGGCCAGGGGCTCAGAGCTGGGCCACCACCTCATCCAGGGCGTACAGGAATTAAACCAAGGGGGCTCCACAAGGAGTTTTAAATCCTTCAAGTGGGATTTGCAGGGAGGAGGTGGATGAGAGCCACCTCAGCACGTGCAGTGTGTTTGCCAGGCAGGTGCCCGCGCTCTGGAGTCAGGAGGTTTTGCCAAAATACTGGAGAACTGCAGGTGGTGAGGGTGGAGGGGTGCAAAATTTGTGTCCCGGAGGTGCTGTCTGGGCTGAGGGAAAGCTGTGTACCTGTGTACCTTCCTCTGACAGAGATGGTGCCATGGAGTAAATGCTGAGCTCATCCACTCTTGGCTCTCCTGGGGCAAACAGCAACTGCTTACACGGGTGTTGCGCTCAGAGTCCACATGAATCCTGTCTCCATTCCAAGAAAAAGAGGTTTAAATCTCATTCACTGCACTGGAACTGGATGTGTGTGAGGAGGCTTGGCGGAGTCCTGGCTCCAGCTGCTGGTGTTCCTGCTGAGGCAGCTATGGAGCCTGTCTGCTCCAGGGATTTACTCCAGTCCGGTGAGGAATGGGCTCAGAGTACATGACATAACCTCTCTCCCTCTGTGTCCTAGCCAAGGTTAAGAAGTCAGGGAATTTTTTTTTTAATAGGAACAATATCAAAGAGGTCTCTGCGTTATCTCCCCATCAGTGACTTTCCTGTTCACAGAGATTTGCACCCTTTGAAGTGCCTGATAGTAAACAAAGGCGCATCATTTATAAATGAGGCTGAAGCCAGAAACCCCTTTCTCTGTCCTCTCTGTTTATCAACCCAGGCTTCCCAAACCGGAGGGAGAATTCCCCTGACATCAGTGACCTACTGAGGCAACTTCCAAGCGTGGAATGGAGCTGGTGAGCAGGGGAGACCCCCAGCTCCGGGAGGTCGTGTGGTTCGCCGGGCGCTGCCGAGCCCTGACGCTGCTGCTGCAGGCAAGTGTCCTGTCCCTCAGCCAGAGGGGCTGGGACAGCTGGAGTTTGCTGCTCCCAGGCTTCTCTCCTTGGCACCTCTTGTGTTCCTTGAGGTGCTTCTGCTCTTTGGAGAAACCTGGAGGCTGCAGAGGTGCCTGGAGTGAGCGTGTGTGGCCTGAGCAGCCTTCCCTGGGCAGTTCCGTGGGGATTCATCCTGGATACATCCCATGGCTTTATTCTGTTCAGATACAAAAAAACATTGTGTTTGCCCCTTCTCCCAACCTTGCAGGCCCCTCAGCCTGACTTTGGTGCTGCTCTTATCCCTTTGTTTGAACCCCAGGAGTTCTCCTGCCCGCTGCTTTCGGTACCGGAGGATCCCTGCCTGTCTTCAACCCTCTCTTCTTTTTCCCAGGCTGTCTTTAACCTGCTGATCCCGGACCACGCCGCGGACGCCTTCTCTCCCCCTCGGCTGTCGGAGCCCAGCCCGTGGGATGTGCTGGTGGAGTGGCTGCTGGGCGGGCTGTCCCACTGGGACGCAGAGCACTTCCTCTTCATCGCAGAGCACGGATACCTGTACGAGCACAACTGCGCCTTCCTCCCGCTCTACCCCCTGAGCCTGTGGGCCGTGGCCAGGGGGTTCCTGTGGCCCCTGCAGCGGCTGCTGCGGCTGCGGAGCCGCCTCCTGCTCTCGGCCGTGCTGCTGAATTCCCTGTTTTCCGCCCTGGCAGCCGCTGCCCTGTACGAGCTGGGCCGCGTCGTGCTGCGGCGGCGCCGCGTGGCTTTCCTCGCTGCCCTTCTCTTCTCCCTCAGCCCTGCCAACGTGTTCATGGCAGCCGCTTACTCGGAGAGCGTGTTTGCTTTCCTGGCATTCGCTGCCATGTGGCAGCTGGAGAAGGGGCAGAGCTGGCTCAGTGGGCTGCTCTTCTCCCTGGCTTCTGGGGCGCGCGCCAACGGGCTGATTAACGCTGGCTTCTTACTCTACTCCCAGGGTAAACGCTTTGCCCTCCAGCTGCAGGTGGGACCGGGATCCCTAAGGAAGCTCCCTCTGTTGTGGAAGCAGCTCCTTAGCCTGGCATCTTCAGCGGTCCTGATGAGTGCTGGCATTTTTCTGCCTTTTGCTGTGTTTCAGTACTATGCCTACGTGAGGTTCTGTGGTCCTGGCACCAGCCTGGATCGGGCCATTCCCGAGCCACTGCTGCAGCTGGCTCGGGATAAGGGCTATCGTCCGGCAGCCATGGATGGGGCTAAACCCCCTTGGTGCTTGTGGAGGGTCCCTGTGGTCTATTCCTACATCCAAGACGCTTACTGGAATGTGGGCTTTCTAAGGTACTTTGAGCTCAGGCAGATCCCGAATTTCTTGCTGGCTTTGCCTGTGACCCTTCTGGTCTCGTGGGCTGCCTGGACCTACGTCAGCACAAACCCCCGGCACTGCCTGACTCTTGGTCTGGAGAGAAGTAAGAGTGAAGAGGAGGAAAAGCCAAGAGATGGATTTTGCTGCCCTGCTGCCTTCGTGTACGTGGTCCATGCCATGGCCCTGCTGGCCTTTGGATTCTCCTGCATGCACGTGCAGGTAGGACACTCATGGCACACATTCCTTATGGGGTCTGAGGGAGGGACAGGCACAGCCCAAAGCTGTGGGGAATGGAAACCAAAAGCTTTGCCTTTCCTCTTTGGGAGCTACTTCCCCAGAGAATCCGAAGCCAGTTAGTTCCTCTGGAGAGTTCCCAAAGAGCTTGCTGGGTGCTCAGTGTGATGGGGACGCGGTGACAGGGATCAGTGGCTCTGGTGTAACTACACTGCTGTCCTTGGGGGACAAGGATACTGGATCCTTGTCATGTTGGGCCGAGCTTAATGGATGGCAGTGGAAAGATCCAGAGCACAGCTGGTGGCACCAAAGTTTGGGAGTTCCAGTGAAAGAATAACCAAAGTTGGTGTGATTTTTGCTCTGCCTGTTGTCTCCAGGTGCTGACCCGGTTCCTTGGCTCCTCCTCTCCCATCCTGTACTGGTTCTCAGCTCACCTGCTTCAGGAACACGAACCTTTACTCTGGAGCACAGGGACTGATAATCCACCCTCTGGGAGGTCTGTCCTAGGCGAATCTCCCGGTTCTTGTGGGAAAGGGACTCCTGACAACCCTGTTGTGAGGCTGCTGCTGAACTGGCGATTAATTACCCCCCTCAGCAAGGGCATCCTGGGATTCTTCCTGTGCTACTGGCTGCTGGGACTGCTCCTGCACTGCAACTTCCTCCCGTGGACGTAGCAGGATGTGCTGGCCCAGACTGGGAGCGGTCAGAATCGAAACTCACTTTTTCTGGAAGCCTGAGGTAGCTGTGATGCTGCTGCTGTTGCAGTTACAAAGGTGTTACTCCCCTGTTACTACGTGTGTACGGAGCTGCTGTGTCCCTCCGTGGTGTGATGGTGCAGTGTCCTGCTCTGCTGTCATTACTGATGGCCAAAATTCCCATTCCCTGGGATGGGAATGCACCTCGGTTCCTGCATCTCCTGCGGGAGATTTATGGCAGGACCCTCGTGATGGATTTGGGAACCCTCTGGGGTGTTGTTGGTGGGCACAGCTGGAGGACAGGGAGGATCCAGCTGCTGTGAGCAGCTCAGACCACGCTGGTTCCTTCTCCACAGCTCCGAGCCAGGCTGGGCTGGGGCTGGGGGCAAGGGAGGGGTGGCAGGGCTGGGGCCGGTGTGTTTGGGAACTCGCACATCCCTAATAAACACGTGAAAGTTACCGGAGGGGCGGCTCACCCCACTGTGCCGGGAGATGGAAGTTGGGATGGAAGGTCCCGAGGTTGGGATTGGGATCCGAGGTCAGGGTTGGGATCGGGGTAGGGGTCAGGGGTCCCGAGGTTCGGATAGAGATTGGTGTTGGGATTGGGGTCTGGGATTTCGGGATCGGGGTCAGGGTTGGGATCGGGATAGGTGTTGGTGTTGGGATTGGGGTCGGGGATTTCTGGCTTAGGGTATTAGGATCGAGGGTCCCGGGGTCAGCATCGGGGGCGGGGTCAGGATCGAGGGTCCTGGGCTCGGGATGGGGATCAGGAGTCCCGGGGTCGAGGTTGGGATGGGGCTCGGGGTCCCGGGCTCGGGATGGGGA